AAAAAAGGAGATTTTAAGGTCTAATTTTTTTTACCTATATATATTTATTCCACTTAATTAATGTGTGATTTATTAATTTTCTATTATAAGTTTTATAACGTGATATACAGTATATCGTTACCGCCACTCATCATAATGGGATATCGTGATATGAATTTTTTGCCATATCGCACATTCCTAGCAGCTGTGGTTGGTCACCTACAGCAATGCAATGTTTGCATTAGCTCTTCTGACCCATTTCTACCTCGATTTCTGGAACACTGAGACCCGTTGTTCTGTCCGGGCAGGGATGCTCAGTCCGATTTGACTTCAGCTACTGCTGCTCATTGATTGGTTCACTGACTTTACAAGAATCGTTTGCAGTGACTGTAATAATTTAACTACACAAGAGTAGCAAGCTACCAAACAATAGCACCAAGCTAACAATAGCTACCATTAGCTTTCTCTGTTGTCTTGCCCTCTTGTCAATAGTGTCATACTGCTGGATGGTCCAGTACAGCCTTCAGTACTTGTCCTTGGAGTTTGGTATAGTCCATTATTGTTTTGTTGCAAATAAAACAAAATAAGATTCACATGTGTTTAATATTATGATCCAGACAATATTATGGCAGCACTCTGCTCAATGCAAAAACAAACAGGGCCAGGGTAGAATAAAGTTAGGCCCACTGGAGCCGGGCAGGGCCGAGCCTGGTCTCACAATGCAAAAGTGATGGGTCGGTCATCCACAGCATTGATTTCAGTCAGAAAATTAATTTTGTATTGCACTCCTCTGTAATTCTTCTGTGAAGTATATGTTGCTTAGCTGTGCTAGCTTTAGGAGTTATCTAGGTCAGTGGTTCCCAACCTTTTTAGACTTGTGTACCCCCCCGAGCCATTTTGTCATACCCCCTTAGTCAAATGTAATGATGATTCTATAATGTACAACAACTGATTATTAATCAAAAACTCTTTCTTTTACCTTCTTAACTTGAACATTTAATTCTCAGACGTTTTATTCTTTTCAACTCAAATTAAACATAAAGATAAATGTGTTGCCTTGAAAGTGAATAAGTAATGAAATAAAAAAAATACTAAAATAATAATAAACCTGCCTTTGATATGAGTAAAACAGAGCTCAGTTGAACAAGTTCCCTCTAAACAGACATTTAAACTTAAAAAAAGTCAGGTATGAAACACTTGACAAAAATAACATTCGCTCACTGTCTCAGTTTAACTTTGTTTTCATCATTCAGCTGAGCTTTGATAAGCTCTGATAGTCAAACTATTTTTTTAATAAAGCTTGTGTTTGTGGGTCATGAGATGCTCTACAGGCCATCTTGAAGCAATGTTAGAAATGAGGAACAAAGAAAGAAAGTGAACTCTTTAAGAATTGTATCTGTGGCTTTATAAAAGTTTGTTTAAATATATTAAATATATTGTTTAAAATAGTGAAGCACCCAGTAATGCCTTGATTGCAATATAATTTGGTCCACATGCAGGTCAGTGGCTACTCCAGTGTTTTATTTTGTAAGGCATATGTACATCAATATTGTCCTCCTTGTGTCGTTCCACATTGTAGAAAAAAAACAAACCTTTGTAATGTTCACTATGCCCATTCCTGTCATCTGTACTCTTTCTGTGCCTTTACAGATGCGTTCCGATGGTCGGGTTTTGAAGACGGACCAGGGTCTGCTCATGCGGTCTCTCCAGCCCTCGGACTCCGGCATGTACCAGTGCACGGCCACAGAGAAGAACTTCAAGCACACGCTCGTCAAGCTGCAGCTGGTGGTGTTGTCGAGTCGTGCCGTCAACAACGCGCTGGTGGACGGCGGCGGMTGGCTGGTGCCATCGACTCCTCACTCTTCCGGGAGCCAGTGGACCGCCAGCGCGGGCCAGTACAAGGACTTGCTGACCATTCTGAGCCAGCCGGAAATGAGCCTGATCAACCAGTACTGCCAGGACTACTGGCAGTTCGGAGACCCTCTGGTCGGCGCCCTGAAGGCCAAAGACTTAAAGGAGCTCAAAGAACAGAAGAAGCCTCGCAACCGCCGACATCACAGGGGTGAGYCAGTGGAGGAAGAGGAGGAGGAAGAGGAGCAGCAGGGAGCTGAAACATGAGGAAACTGACTTTGTGTTTGAAACATCTTCAACACACTTTTCCCCCCACCCTCACACCCACCCCTGTGAAAACTGGGAGAGACTCAAAGAGAGTAGCATCATGGGGAAAAAAAATTCTACAAACTGACAAAAAAGAAAATCAAACTGAGAGAAAGAGGCTTCCAAACAAACCCCCACATACATCCCTGCAAACAGTAAGATATATGAAACAGTATTTATTGTAGGTTGTATATAGTATCATTCTGTGGATTCCTTTGTACTTATAAAAAATGCTCTTTGTGTATAGGTATTTTTGGGGGCAAATATTGTTCTTGTTGTTCATTTTAATGTTGCTGTTACTGTCTTTACAAAACTCTTTTGTCTGCATCATTTGAACTTTAGGGGATGTGTTTTTCAAGCATGCGAGCTGTTCAGAGCAAACTAAGCTGTCTGTGTGAGACGAGTTGATAAAGAGGTGATGGGAGACTTTTTTTTCTTTTAWAATGAATAAGACTTTTTATGTCTGGACACTCCTGCAGCCTCCTCTTGGCTACGGACAGACTTCATGTTGGAGGACCATTGACTGGTGGTCTCTGGTGTAATGGGGGATATTGTCTTTTCTCAATGGGAATCTGTTTTCTATTAATAATTAGAGGACTTACTATAAAATAACTTGGACCGTTACAACATGCCAGCCCAGGTCTTATACATTTTTAAAAGGATTTACATTCTCTTAAATGAGCTATGACAAATTTTGTCCTTGTTCTCTTAATATCTTTTATTAAAATCAAGTCAATAAGTTCCATACGGCACCTGTCAAAACACCCCTACTCTGATTAAAAACAAAACACAAACAGAAARGTCTTTAAGGAAATATGGAAGTAGGTTCACTCTAAACACAGAGATGAGTTTAAGGAATCAAGAATTTGCACAAAAGGGCATTTTTATTATTTTTATTGTTTGGCTGGGGCCAAAGTTCWAGTTGGCTTCTGTGAAAGAACCAAAATGGTTTACAATAAAGTGGTTGCCCCCGATTGGGGCAGCTTTTCTGAGCACACAAGATTTTATTTTATATTCCTTTTATCTTTCATGTGTATAAAATAAAAAAAGAAAATCTCAAACATGTTCCTTTACACAACGCAGCAGTGTAAAATACCGTGGCACTAACCAAAATACTGACTATMGGGAAGCTGGCTTTCATTTTGTGCATGAACCTGTATTTGTACTGTAACGCTAATAAGGTAGTGTGTTAGTTTTTATTTTTGTTTGTTGAATCTCTGTGGGTATAAACTATGATTTTCACATTACACAAAATGGGAGAACAGATGCTCTACATGTAAAATCTCCCGAGTTTCATATGATTCGGCTTTTCATTCCCATAGGTTTAATCAAATCATGAGGTGCAATGGTCTCATGTGTTTGAAGTTAAAAAAATGTGGAAAAATGCAAACAGATGTAATATTAGTTCATTAATGGACAGATATGCTCAATGTTTTAGAGATATTTTTTAGCTAACCATACTATAAAAATGTTATAGTAGATCCACAGAACATAAAACTATTGAAGTTTTAATGAAATTTGTATGACAGAAACTGAATAGAAAAAAGGTGAAAATATTTTTGTTTTGTTTTGGTTTTTCTGGTCTTTAAATATTTCCAGGTTTGCTCTCAGGCACATTAAAAGTCTATTTGGWCACATCTGTGAAGATCATACAAGCACAACATTAGTGTCTGCTCCCAACTTTAGGTCATGTTGCTATTTTGTCAATCAAGGGGAGTGAATGGAATGGCCAAATGTAACCAGGATCCAATAGTTAAAGTTACTTTTTTATCCTAAAAAGATGAGAAATGTTGTAAAATTTGCTTTTCTCAAATGCTGTTTTTAGGCCTGGTCCTCACTACTTCATGTGGTGTTGTTTTTTAAACTAGCACTCTTTCATTCCAGTTTCATCAAAAACTCACACTGTTCTAACAAAATGCTGAAATGTCTATGCTGTGCCACTACATGGTGAAAATGTCCACAGTGATAATATTAATAATCATAGAAAAAAGAAGCTGTAAAAAGAAAAACTATTCAAAACATTTGTGGTTTTGTTTGTATTTTTTGCTAACATAGGGGTCCCTGCAGTCACCAAGTGGGAGTTTCCTGAGTGTGGGCATAGTTTACATTAACCGTGATTGGTTGGATTGACTTGTGGGCGTAGTTTGAGTAAACCGTGATTGTTTGGATCAACTTGTAGGCGTAGTTTGGGTAAACCATGATTAGCTAGATTGACTTGTGGGCATAGTTTGGGTAAACCATGATTAGCCAGATTGACTTGTGGGCATAGTTTGGATAAACCGTGATTGGTTGGATCAACTTGTCGGTGTAGTTTTGGTAAACTGTGATTGGTTGGATTGACTTGTGGGCGTAGATTAAATAAACCGTGATTGGTTGTGTATATGTGTGGGCGTAGTTTGGGTTAACTGTGATTGGTTGGATTGACTTGTGGGCGTAGTTTGGATAAACCATGATTGGCTAGATTGACTTGTGGGCATAGATTGGATAAACCATGATTGGTTGGATCAACTTGTGGTTGTAGTTTTGGTTAACCGTGATTGGTTGGATTGACTTGTGGGCATAGATTAAATAAACCGTGATAGGTTGTGTATACTTGTGGGCATAGTTTGGGTTAACCGTGATTGGTT